TCTCTTTAGTAATAGCGATTCCATCATAAACCTCAGTCCCAACTCTGAAATTTTTAAATTAGTAAAATCATATTACTGTGTTTATTAAAAATGTAAAATTATAAATTGTTGATATCTTCCTTTCTAACTTTTCATTGGTTGACTTACTGGTACTGAAAATTCATCAGTATATTTCAGCAATTCGTTTAATAATCAAATTTTGATTCCCTTAAATTTCATATTAGAGTTAAGGGCAAAGGCCTTTGTGAAGTTTCTTATACATGGGATTTTTCTCATTCGACTGGCAGCGATAACTGTAGGATTATTGTTCTAGCTACTCATTATTTTCAAAAGGCACTGTTCTTCCTCATATAAAGATTTCTTAAAAGAGAAATTAGATGTGTCTGAATACAAAGGAGTTTCTATGTTGCTTGGTATTGAATTTTGTGTTTTTCAGCAGGGTAAAGCCTGGAGATGAAGAATTGAAGAAGCCAAATATCTCTCCATGAGAAAAAAAGATGAAAAAATACAAAGGAAAGATTTTAGAGAAGGGACAAAGCAGCATGGGTGGCCAGGAAAAACAAGGGCAATGTAGGGGACAGAGGTATTCGCAAACTTTAACATGCATCAGGTTTGCTTGGGAATTTAAGAGAATCCTAAATCATTATTAAATAAATGTTAAAACAGATTGTTTAGCTTCACGCCCAGAGTTTCTGTTTCAGTAAGTGTAAGGCGTGCTTAATAATTTGCATTTCTAACAGGTTACCAAGTAATGCTAATGCTCGTCCAGAGACCACACTTTAAGAACCAGTTATAAAGGATACTTAGGAAGTTTTGCTTCAGGTTATATGGTATAATTTATCAGAGGATCAACCATCTTTGTTTGTCTGGAAATAGGGATTTACTGGAACTCACAAGGTTATAATTGGAAAGTTTCCAGCGAATCAGGAAGATTTGTCACTCCACAGCATATGGCCAAGATATTTTCAGTAAAGAACTAAAATATTTGTTAATGCTTTTGTACCAAAATCGTGTGTGTGTTTTAACTAATTGGTTAATTAATTCATTGATTAATTTTAAACTTGATTTTTTTTTCCCCCATTGGTATGTTAAGATTGACCTCAAGGCTACGGTTGCATTTTGGAGGTTATCATCTATAATTCTGGCCCAACTTACAGTATTTTACTGTAGCCAGAACTAAATGTCACCAAGAACTGAGTAAACCATCACTATGTTGATCCAATGGCCAGCGTTTTGTTTTTTTTAGTGAAAAGGGGCTCTATAAGAGGAAGGACTGTACTTGGACTTCAAAGTAAGAGAATACTTACACAAATTTCTCAGTTATGAAGGGAACTAAAATTTTGCCACTCTGAAATTTCCTTTTGAAATATTGATTTTAAGCTGTTAAGGAAAAAAGAAAAATGAAAAGATCAGAAAGAATCTTTGACCCTACCTTCTTTCCTGCCCAAGAGATTCAGATGGTAAAACCTGCTTTAGGAAAAGAGTATTGGCTTAATCACCTTAAGAATCTCCACGTTGGCATTAGTCAGGAAGATGCAAGCCTGTTAACTAGATACCTGCTGTGTCTCATTGTTTCTGAGTTGCCTAGCAAAAATTTGCCTGTCACGTGCATTCTGCAATACCTCAACTACCTGCAAATCAGCCATTCTCACTTTTAAAATCTAACACCCCCCACTTTTCTCCTTTGTCCAAAAATGTCATGTATACTCAGTGTTGTCTGTCTTTGAAATTTTCATTCCTATGTGAATTACTCATGTGCATGTATTAAAATTTTGATTTTCTCCTGTTAACCTGTCTCTGTCAATTTGATTATTGGCCCAGCTAGAAGAACTTAGACGTAGGAGGAAAAGCAGTACTTTTTTTTAGCCCTCATAGTCATCAGAATTCAACCTTTGGGAAAACTCACTGTTTGGGAATGAATAGTTCACACAGTTTTATATACACACTGTTACATGAGTTCATGAAATTAAGAATGTTAAAATTGATCAAGATGGGCTAAATTTTACAGCAGTAATAAATGCAAAACCTTGAAGGCTTAAACCAACGAAGATTTATTTTTTGTACACACTACCTACCCTTTGAACTCCAGCAGAAATTGTCCATTTTTCCCCATAACTTCTTATATCATAATTCAAGTGGACAGCACAAAATAAAGAACTTAATCATTCAATGATGATGGAATTGCCCATTCCAGTGATAAAACTTTTCCCCAAAATAAACATCTGTGGAAAATTGGGTTGAAATCTTTAACAGAAAATATAAGGTGAATATTAATGGTGATCCAGTTTTAGAAGATAGGCCTTATAAAATATAACTTATTTCATTAAAATCCCTAGAGGTAGTTATTTTACTGTGAGGTCTCAATTTAGTGGCAGACCTTGGAAAACATGACAATCCTAAAGTGGACAAGTGACAACAACCTCACCAATTTGTAGATAGTAAATGTAATTCACCAACAAACTAGTGGAGTATTCTGTGAAGACCTCTATTGGATTGATAGGGCTTATTAGCATTCAAAGGTAACATGTTTTATATTGATGATTTCCAAATGTGAAAAATATCATTTAGTGGTTTGAGCTGATCCCTGCAATTTAGGTTTTTACAAAGCTCCCCAGCAGATTTTGAGACAATTAGTCTGCAATGTGGACAATTAAAAAACAAAACTTGTTATTTTCAATTTGGTGGATGAAAACATGGAGTAGAATGTTAATATAAAGTTATGACACTAATGAAACATTCAGTTCAGTATAAATTGAAGGTTATTTTGAATTATAAGGCTATGAGGTTACTGTATTACTCTCGGTCTAATATTCCAATTTCTACCCATAACTCTGTCATTAATTTCCTATGTGATTTCAAGTAAAATATGTTTACTTTCAGCTTCTGAGAAATAAAATCAAGTAGATTATTAAAGAAGATCTCTAGCAGTAGTAAAACCCCATATTTCCTTGAAACTTTCCAATTACCATAAATGGGCTGTGGGACATATAGGGGTCAAATGTTCAAGGTAAGCTCTTGGTGGCAATTATTATAGAGAGAAATGTGTAGCAGAAATGTCTGGCCTTGTTACTACCTCCAAAAATGCCCACTATTTCTACAGAAGGTCAACAGGCTGCAGGGTATTGACAGGGGGTATTCAAGACATGCTAGCTCAAAATATAACACTTGGGCATATTAAATATTTGAAGCCGAAAAAATTTAAGAAGTGTCATGTGCAGGAAGGATTTTCTGATCTTCTGAAGTAAGTCATAAAACCTTTAAATAGGAAATGCTCTCTTGATGCCCAGAGGAAAGAAGCATCCTTATTTCTGAAGTTGAAAGGACACAGAGGAATCTGAACAGGCCTTGCTAAGTTTCCTCCAGTTTACAACACTTATACCTTTGTCCTAGGATATCTTTCTACAAGTTTCCACTCTTCGTTAAACTTAGCATAAAAACACTCAGGTTTAACTATTTCTTTGGGTCTTTACTTCCTTATGAAGGCTTCTGTGTCATATAAAACTTCTATTAAGTAAATCTGTACACTTTTCTCTTGTTGACCTGTCTTTGTTACTAAGGTCCCAGGTGAGAATTTAGAAGGGTAGAGGAAAAAGATATTTTTCCTCTCCTATAATGCATATATCACAACTGAGCAAGTCATGGGATCTGCAGCCAATTATTCAGAGATCCTATCAATCTCTGGAATACTGGGTCATCTGGACATTACCTGAAATAGTTTAGTACAGCATGTACTCAATAATAAAATGGGAGATAAAAAGTGAAACAAAGCTAAGAGTCACATCAAAGTAGGATCCTGACATGATTTTATCCCAATGGTTTAAATAAATTCCTATTCCAGCCCTTATTCACTTCTTACCCCCTTTATTATGAGGAAATAGAAGAGACTGACTAGGGAGACAGTCAGTTTAACTTGACAAATTTGCCTAATTTGGAAGAGTCTGAATTAGCTTTGACCCAGAGAAAGAGCTGAAGTTTGCAACATTAAACAAATTCTGACTCCTTTCTAATGTATTCCCAGCAAACACAACCTGACTGAGGTTACCCAAGAGATCACTTTTCTACAAAACGATGCCAACTATGCTCAAGGCAAAATTCCAAGACATAATGCATCCAACATTCTTCAAATATTTTCTCACTTTCTGCTCCCAAGCCTCAATACAACAAATGTGTAAAGTCTACACAGCCTGCAAAAGTTTACAAATTTAAATGCATAATATTGAAAGCCATTTTGAGGACTACGTATGTAAGCGATACATAGTGCCACCCATTAGGATGCTCATGCTTATGATTTAGTAGGAAAAATTGAACGCTTCGATAGGGAGAATAACAAGAATAGTCAAATTCACAGGCAACAGAAAAGTCTTCCTTACCTAACACATCCCAAATTCTAAAATAATTGCTTTCCCCAACTCCCCCAGAGTACTGTGACCTGGCTGTCAGACTGCACTTCGAATGCCTATTTAACTAAATCCCTTTGAGAGTATCGACATTTTGAAATATCTTTTTTAACCTAAAAAAATCCTCTAATTGGTGGAGTTCATTCAGCAGTGAAGGACCTTCAGATTAGCTTCCACAATCAACCCTCCCCTACAGCCTTTCAAAGTTGATGAAATCAAATCCCTTGGAATTGCAGGTTTTAGTAAATCAGATCACTGAGAGAATACAGAAATAACTGCCCTTGTGTGCGCAAATTTTTGAGCTTGGGGATTGCAAACGTGGGGAAACGGCGCCACCTCCTGGTAAGAGATGGGAACGAGCAGGAAAAAAGCCAACTGACTTGCAGGCTAAGCAACTGCTTTCCTTTCAAAGCTTGGAGCCGCTCGTCTCCTGAGCTCGCAGACGCCCCCGAAACCCGCCCCTCCCGGCAGCTCCGACCACTCAGAGAGCCCCCTACGCAACGTGATTGACAGGGCAACAGCCCGGTCCGTTACCTAAATTTGTCACTCCGGAAACAGTGACCGGATTTTCCCGGAAGCTCAGGGGTCCTCTCTCTCCCAGCATCCTTTGCTTTCCGGCTATGTTCGGTCCTGTCCGGCTAGTCCCGCCTTGCGCGCCCATTTCGAGCCCGAGTTTCAAGCTGGACTTTCCAGGTTGGGGAACCCGGCACACATTTTCTAGGACTGGGTTCTTGGCCTGTGGCTATTGGGACAGGAATGGCGCAGCTGGAGGGTTACTACTTCTCGGCTGCCCTGAGCTGCACCTTTTTAGTATCCTGCCTCCTCTTCTCCGCCTTCAGCCGGGCGCTTCGGGAGCCCTACATGGACGAGATCTTCCACCTGCCGCAGGCTCAGCGCTACTGTGAGGGCCATTTCTCCCTCTCACAGGTGGGGTCCCCACCCTGTCCCCACCCCAAGACAGGCTAAGGAGTTTGGCCCCAGCGCTAGTTTCTCTTCATCCTCAGTTTTAACTCCCTCACCACCACCCTCCCAGCCTCAAACGTGAAAGGAACTGGGTAATCTTTTGTTCCTGTTTCTGAGATCTGTGAAATATTTGTTAAATAAGTGAATAAACAGCAGATCTGTCTCCTAGGAAGTAATGTTCTGGGAGAGTAACAGGGAATTGAGTTACTGTCCCTCTTCTTAGCAACTGATGATAGGTTATCTCTCTTTTCCTCACCCAATCCCAGTATGAGGCATTTGGCTGCTCCTGGGAAACCTCAGAACACTTCACTTTGGCTCACCTGTCACGCACCTCACTATGTATTTTGGGGATGGGACAGGGTGGGGAAGGGGTATTGTCAGCCACTAAGAAATAACAAATTATTTAATTCTGCTCCTGGTGTTTTTAAGACCCTTTTGTTAACTGGATAAATTGACTACTGGTGAAGTGGTATCATGTTTGAATATATAATCGACTACATAAATACATAGATACAGATACAAATATAAAAAGTACAGCAGGCCCGGGAGTAACTTGCTTTGTTCACTGAACTTAAAACCTTGGTGAGATGTGGTAGAAATTTAACTCTTGTTTATGGCAATTAATCTGTGGTAAAGTTGGTTTCATTGTAGTTTTGCATAAGATAGCAGAGCCTATTATGGATGTTAAGTGAGGTTTTACTGTAGACACATTATTCTTCCTCTTCTAGTGAGGCAATATAGAGTAGTGGTCAGAAATATAAAATCTAGTTAAAGACCTGATTTTAAATTTTGGAGCATATTTACTAGTTATGTGACCTTGTAAATTTCTGAGTTTCAGGTTATTCATCTGAAAATGACAGAAATAATAGTATCTACTCTAGGGCATATCGTAGGATTAAATACAGAGAGTTTAACACAATTCCTGGCTCAGTACATGTTGCTGTCATTATGGAGCCTGTGGTTTAATCTCTTTTAATCTCTAACACTTTTTTCTCTCCAAATTTATCTGTTCCTGCTGGTATTTCCACACTTTTAAAAACTAGAGCATTTGCAAGTTAATCACCAAAATGCATCTTTTCTGAAGAATAGATCTTTCTGAAGAGAAGAAACAGAATAACTTCTAAAATTGCCTGATTGTTAGTGAAGGTGTTTTTGATCTTGACGTCTTTGTGTCAGTCCTCTTGTTTTTGCTTCATTGTTGCCCTTTCATTTTTAAGTGGGACCCCATGATTACTACATTACCTGGCCTATACCTGCTGTCTGTTGGAGTGGTCAAACCTGCCAGTTGGATCTTTGGATTGTCTGAGCATGTCGTTTGCTCCATTGGAATGCTCAGATTTGTGAATCTTCTCTTCAGTGTTGGCAACTTCTATTTACTATATTTGCTTTTTCGCAAGGTACAGCCCAGACACAAGGTATGTTTTCAAAATAATTTGTTATAAATTTATATGCATTCAAGGCCATAATTATGATAAATTGGTTCTGAGATTTGGTGAAAAATGTCTTTAACACTTGGTATTTGTGGATATTTTGTAAAGATAAAGCAAATCCTCCACCCCCATTTTAGAAGAAATTTATATTTAAGTACTTGAATAAATTTATTTGTAAAATCTAAAGTAAATGTTCATGAGTCAAACCTCCAGTTTACAACATTACTGACCAGTTAGTATTTACTGACCAGTTAGTATTCCACGTTCTAAGCGCTGAAACTATAGAGGTAAATGAGGCATTCTTTTTCATAATTAAAGTTCTATCTTCATTATGGGAAACAGATATTACCTGAGGAATTTTTATGAGTTAAGAACGCAGGCCCTGGAGGTGAATTGCCTGGGTTTGAATTCTATTCACTTTCTATGTTAATTTAGAAGAGTTACCCCTTAGTGACTTCATTCTTCATCTGTTAAATGAGACTAGTATAGAATCTATCTCATAAGACAGTTATAAAGTAAAGGAGACTAATAAAAAGTGCTTAGCATAGTGCCTGATATAATAGTAAGGACTCAATAAATAACTATAATAATTATTTTTAACTTAAATTGATGATTTCAAAAGTGTAAATTATGATAAGGCGATAGGTATAAGACACCATACGGATACAGAGGAAGAGCAGAGACCTTATGGCAGCAGACTGGAAGGGACAGGTATGAGTGGCATTGGATAAGGCTTTATGGAGATGTTACCTGAGCTGAATTTTAATAAACATAAGGCTGTACAGTGGGGAATGAATCCTGGCAGGAGAAGCATAAGCAAAAGTAGAAAGGCATCTTGAGCAACAAGATGCAGGGAAGCGGTGTTCAGAATTAGAGGATTATAATAGTACAGGGTGTGAACTGGAGAAGCAGGTAGGGATGAAGTCATGAATGTCTTTAAATGTTAGGAAAGGATTCTGAACTTTCACAGGTGATGGGCAGCCCTTAATTTTAATGAAGGCAATGGCATGGTTTGATTTGATGATTTAGATTAAATAGCGGCTGCAATTCAAGGAGATGAGAATACTTTCAAATTCTGAAAAAGTATGTCAGAAAGGCTAAGAAAAGATATTTAACTTTAGACTGGGCCTAGTATTTTCAAGAAAATCCCTGTAATTTCATCATGAAATAGTAAAATCATTGAGTATGGTAGTATACATGCTATGTACATATTTACATTCTCTCTACTGCAGAGTTTTAAAGAGATATCCTTAAAATAAATTGGTGACTATGGCTAAGTGAATGCTTATTGAAAGTGGTTAAGATTTAAGCTCAGGGAAATGGAACCACCTGCACTGTATTCCATTTATCTTCATTTTCCATGTAAAATTTAGTTTTATGTCTTATACACAATAATTCCTTAACTATTTGATGGATGATTCAAAACATTTCAGTCTATAAAAGCTTTGGCACTCACATTTATTGTCTTACCAGCTTCCAAACTGATAGGCGTAACTAAAAAGTGCCAGAGTGTTCTTATAAATGTGTATTGTGTTTTCGCAAAGCCAGAAATAAGATTAATATTGAATAACTTTATTTAAATAAATTCAGATAGTTTTTTTTTTTTTTAATAAATATCTTTATTCAACAGAGAGAGCCTATTTGTTTTATCATAAAATAATTTTAACTGCGTTTTCTTTTCTTCCTAGGCAGGTTCAAGTATCCAGAGAATCTTGTCAACATTAACCCTAGCAGTATTTCCCACACTCTATTTTTTTAACTTCCTTTATTATACAGAAGCAGGATCCATGTTTTTTACTCTTTTTGCCTATTTGATGTGTCTCTATGGAAATCATAAAACGTCAGCCTTGCTTGGATTTTGTGGCTTCATGTTTCGTCAAACAAACATCGTTTGGGCTGTCTTCTGCGCAGGAAACATCGTTGCACAAAAGTTAACTGAAGCCTGGAAAACTGAGCTACACAAGAAAAAGGAAGAGAGGCTTCCCCCTATTAAAGGACCATTTTCAGAATTCAGGAAAATTCTTCAGTTCCTTTTGGCTTATTCCATGTCATTTAAGAACCTGAGTATGCTTTTTCTTCTGACTTGGCCGTACATCCTTCTAATGTCTCTGTTTTGTGTTTTTGTAGCAGTTAATGGTGGGATTGTTGTTGGCGACCGAAGCAGTCATGAAGCCTGTCTACATTTTCCTCAGCTATTCTACTTCTGCTCGTTCACTCTCTTTTTTTCCTTTCCTCACCTACTGTCTCCTAGCAAAATTAAAGCTTTTCTTTGCTTAGCTTGGAAACGTAGAATTCAGTTTTTTGCAATTACCTTAGTCTCTGTATTTTTAGTTTGGAAATTCACTTATACTCATAAATACTTGCTAGCAGATAATAGACATTATACATTCTATGTGTGGAAAAGAGTTTTTCAAAGATATGAAATTGTGAAATATTTGTTAGTTCCAGTCTATATATTTGCTGGTTGGAGTATAACTGACTCACTGAAATCAAAGTCCATTTTCTGGAATTTAATGTTTTTCATATGCTTATTTACTGTTACAGTACCTCAGAAACTGCTAGAATTTCGTTACTTCATTTTACCTTACGTTATTTATAGGCTTAACATACCTCTGCCACCCATATCCAGACTCGTTTGTGAACTGGGTTGCTATGCAGTTGTTAATTTCCTCACTTTTTATATCTTTCTGAACAAGACTTTTCAGTGGCCAAACAGTCAGGACATTCAGAGGTTTATGTGGTAATATCACAGATATCTTAAACTCTAAAAATAGACTTATTTAGACTATTTCTACAATGAGCAACTGAACAGGTAAAAATTACAGACTTTCTTTTGGGTATAATGGTGATCCTCAGATCACATCAGATTTTGTTTTTTAAACATCAGATGTATATGTTTTAAATATATAAAAAAATCGAAGGGAGTTAAGTGGTAAAGGACTTAGAAAAGTTTAAGACTTGCTCCATAAGCCTGAGTAATAATGGGAAGATAAAATTGTTTACAGTTATCTCATGACATGTCTTTGATACAGCTAGCCATTAGAAAGCTTGGAAACTTTATAGATACAAGTTTAAGAAAACTGGGCATGCTTTATGATACTGGAACTTATTTATTCTTTTCAGTAAGCAATAGCAGACTATTTGAAAAACATTTATAAATAATCAGGTAATAGTCTTGATTGAAAAGTTGCTTAACATTTCAGTAAATTTAATTTTAATCAGACAAACTCATAGTGTTATAAATTAGAGGCTCATCTATGTTTATCTAGGATTAAAATTGTTGATTTTTGCTAAAAATCTAGAAATGATGCTCTTTCACTAATTTCCTGGTATGAAATATATGATAGCCAAAGATAAATTGTGTTGATAATACCTTTCAAAAGGGATTTTCTTCTTGAAATACATTACTATAAGTTTTCTTTGGCGGCCGTAACAAGTTAACACAAACTCAGTGGCTTAAAAAAATTTCTCTCACAGTTCTGGGGGCCATAAATCTAAAATTAAGGTGTCTCTATGCTTGGTCGCTTCTGGAGGCTCTGAGGGAGCATCAGTTCCATCCTTCCTAACTTCTGGTGGCTGTCTGCAGTCATTGGTGTTCCTTGGTTTGTAGATGCATCCACTCCAGTCTCTGCCCTTGCCTTCACATGGCTTACGCGCTCTCCTCTTTATCCTACAAGGACAATGTCATTGACTTTAGGGCTCATTCTAATCCAGGATGGTCTCGTGGTGACATTAATTATATCTACAAAGACCTTTTTTCCAAATAAGTTCACATTTATAGGTTCCAAGTAGACCTATCTTTTTGTGGGATACTTTTTGAACCCACTAAAGTTACCAAAGGAAATTTAGGATAAACCTCATAAAAGTTGTAGGAAATAATTTCTTTTCTGAGATATTCTAAATCAAATTTTATCTTTACTGAGAGGTTAGAAACAAGTGACTTCTAAGGTCACATAAATATAAAACTAAAGGTAACCGGTATATCATTTCATTGTACAAAAAGAATTGAAAGGAGGTTTAGAAGTCATTTGATTATTTTGCAGATTAGAGAACAACCACTCGAGTAGAATTTGTGTGTTGGCTTTTGGATTCTGTGTCTACTATTTTGAGTACATTCATTGGGTTTTCATTTCATTACCGAAAAGTATTATTTTGACATGTTAACTTTGACATATAAACTTAAAACTGTGAATGGAATTCATCTTTTGGTCTCATTTTGTTTGTAAACTTTTTAAAATAGCTGTATGAACCAATTACTTTGTCTTAAATGTTAGATAATGCTTTCTCTGGGCTTTAAATAATGAGTGGACTTGGAAAATATTCTGCATTCGTAAATATAAAATTGTGCAGGTATAGCCTTGAGTAATAAATACAGAGCAGTCTTGTACTTTGTTCAGTACCTAGAATGTAGATCAACTCTTTCATTATAACAGTGATTGCAGAACAAACTTTTAAATTAGACAAGCAAGAACACCCAAAGAAATTATTATTTATAATGGAGAACTGAGTTCCAGGAAGTCAAAATTGGAAAAGAAAATGTGTAATTTAGGAAAAACAGCTTTCTTGTCTGATACTATATATGAAAAGCTTTTGTGTTCAAGAATATCTCTGAGACAAAAAAACTTTTCCTCTGGCAAAAACGAGGAAACCATTTCACTCTGTGGATTGGAGGAATCACTGTTTCAGTTAATTTTTCAGTGTTGAGTCCCTGCTACATTAGAGATGTTTTTGAGAAAATTTACATTCAGAGGAAACAGGTTAATCTTACGTGTTTTCTATAAAGAATGTAAAATAGAGTACAGAACATTTCAGAAAAGAATGTGAATTAAAAGGTGCTATAGACTTTTGCTTTTAGAAACATCCTATTATCGTTGTGTTTGAACATTTTTCAAGTTATCAAATAGATATTTTTAACATGAAGTTTTAAAAAATTCAACTTAATTGAATCTTGCTTAAAAGGTGATTATAAAAAAGTACTGATAAAATAGAGAGCCTTTATATCCTTGCAATTATTGTTATTAAAGTGTGTAAGTAGGATAATATTAAGGAATGTAAAAAATTTAGTCCATAGTATGTTTAGGCCCAGTAATAAATCTTTTTGAAATTTTTCTACCTTATGTGAAATTCTATCGATAATTATCTTTGTATTAGTAAGTTTTATTTTTGTATTAGTAAGAGCATTAGTAAGTTTTCAGTGTGCTGTGTGTTTCCTTGGATATTATTTATGTCTTCTCTTAGTGGATACCCAGAAATTGTTTCTAATGCATCTGAGTATGTATTTAAATTATTTGGAAATACAGTGTTCCTGCGATTAAACAGAATATGTCATTTTGGCAAGAGAAATTACCTTAGCTCTTTGACCTCCTCCTCTTCTTTAAGTTGTTTCTGGAATGTGCTTAGTCTGTCATAAAGTACCTAAATATAAATAGCTTAGTGCAATTTGATTTCTAATAAATAGCTTAATGTAGTATATTTCTAGTTTGAGTTTAACTGCCACTCAGTGGCAAACTGCCACTTTACACATTTTTTTCTTTATAATTGAAGACAGAAAAAGAAGAGAGCCTCAATTTTTATTTATATCCTCTAAATAGTAGACTATTATATTAGACTCACTTTTAAATAAAATGTTAAGATAAATAAATTCATGTTCATTAGATTAGAGAGTGTTTATTATCTTTGAAGCAATTAGAATTTCATTAAAAAGTAAAACAAGTATGCAAATATGAAAACGTTTTTCTAGTGGAAATTAGGCATGACTTAAGAACCATGGGCTTGTGAGAAAGTATTTAATACGAGAATTAAGATTTCTATATTTGATTGTGACTTTGGAATCAATATGGCAAATGGTTTAATCTTTGGTCCTCATTTCAAATGAGAATATTATTTGTCCTAACTCTGGGAAGTACCTGGCACATGTCTATCCTTATTTCAAAAAGAATTCAAACCCCTGCATATATCCATAAAGTTCATAAATAAATTATATAATATTGTATACTGAATGAAATTTTTAATACAGGAAGAAGTAAATATCCTAGAAAAAATATGCCATATAACCATTAGTTAATTATAGGAAATCAGGTTTTATAATGAGAGCCATCCTTTTTCTGCCTAAATTTTCTGATCCGACTTTAAAAATTATTTTATTTACTATCGTGTTTAATACGTATACATGTATTTACTAGTAAATGTGTTTTTATAATAAGATGTGACTTCAAAATTATTGGTGTTTATTTAAAATAAGAAAAGTAACTTTCAACAATTATAATAGCAGTAGAACTCTTGATAGTTATTAGACTTTTAAGGGAAAAGATTTCAACCAATTACAAATATTTTGTGTTGTTCTAGTCAGGCTGTATTTTACTACTTTAAGGATAACTTAATTATCTTTTATTTAGGTACTTTTCATGTATTTAAAGTATGACAAGACAAACATTTTCAATATACTAAAACTTGTGTAGCTGAGAAAATTATAATAAAAATGGACAGATTGTGGTTATATTTTTAAATATGTATCTATAAATGCAACACTGAATTCTTTAACATTTGGAAATTATTTCTAGGATGAGAAGTTTTGTCACGGTGAAGTAATCCAATAAGATCTTTATACTGTGCTTTTTTAAAAAATGAGCATTCGACTAATTTAATGTTAATCTAATTTGAAGTCAGTGCACCACCATCAGACCAAAAGAGATATGGTATTTTTCTGACAAGAAAAATATTAAACACTGTATTGAATTTTCACACTGATTGAAACTATGTCAGTTCAGTTCATTTGAATCATGTATGAGTGTATACGGCACATCCAAAGTCAGGAAGAGAAGGAAGAAAAGTAATAGAATAATCATTGCTATCATTTACTGAGCACCTACAATGTTCTAGGTATTATACCGGCTGATTTACAATTATTGTCACTTGATCCTACTCATATTTGTACGAGGCAGTTGTTGATTTCTGTTTGACTGAAACTAAAAGTCAAACAGATAAGGAAATTTGTCCAAAGTCAATGCTGTCACTTAAAGATTATAGATTGGTTTGATTCCTACGACTGAGTTTTTGGCTGCTACTTTGCCTCACCGTGAAAGTTGTTCATTAAAGAGAGGTAGGATATGGAGAGTGAGACGATAATCTGTCTTTATTCTGCCCTAGCCAGACCATGTATAGTATATTACTTTTTGTATTGGATGTAGTCATTTTGGGAAATGCTAGAAACTGTTTAAAGAAGCATGAACAGATGATGAGTGTTTATAATTATGTTATAAGAGAAATGCCTACATGAATATAGAAGATGTTTTGACTTGGAGAAGCAGAGATCCTATAACTTGATAAGCTCTCATAATTGAGGAATAATTATTTGGAAGAAGGATTGGAATGTCCTATATTTCCTAAAGTATAAATCATGAACCAGCAAATTTCAACTCATGAAAAATATACATTTTCTAATTGTTTTGTCTCTGCAGGGCAAATAACTCAGAAAAAAAGTTAGCTTGCTTGCTCACTGGAGGCAAGATTTCTATTAACCAGAAATGCTTCAGAAGAGATTCAGATAGCAATTGGTATAGTAGTATTAGCTTTTTAAGATGCCTCACAACCCTGTGATTTGAAATTTGTAAGTTTGTTACAGCTATTACTTTTTGAATTAATTAGTAAGTCATGGTGAAGTATCTGGTAAAGTATCATGCTGTCTTCTGCTATATTTAAAATATCATGCTATACTTTAAATTCTTAACAAAAGCTTTAACTGTTACCGTATTTGAGAAACACGGTAGATACACACTTAGTAGAAGATATCAACTATGGTGTTTGAGATTGCTGCTAATATAGTATTCGTTTCCTATTTTTTAAATCTACAATAGTGAAGAGAATGCTCTTTTTTAATTTGGAGATCTCAACTTTTTAAAAATTTTATTTTTCATCATAGTTGGCATACAATATTAGTTTCAGGTGTACAACATAGTGATTAGACATTTATATAACTTAGGAAATGATCACCCCAATAAATCTGGTACCCATCTGACACCACATAGTCATTACAATATTATTGACTATATTCCTTATGCTATACTTTACATCCCCATGACTGTTTAGTTACTACCAATTTGTACTACTTAATCCCTTTCCCTTTTTCACCCCGCCTCCAAAACTTCCCTTCATCTGGCTACCAATCAAATTGTTCTATCTCTGAGTTTGTTTGTTTTGTTTATTTTTTTCTATAGATTCCACATGTAAATGAAATCATATGGCTTTTGTCTTTGTTTGACTTTACTCAGCACAATACCCTTTAGGTCCATTCAAATGTGCTTTTTGAAAAGGTTTTTCTCTCCAAGATAAAAAGGATAAGTACAGTCTACAAAATTATCCACTAGGTGGTGGTATTGTACTACGTTTCCAAGTGTTCTTGTAATTAAACTTCATTATTTTTATAGTTTTAAGTTTTAAATCACAAAGTAATTTATAGCATCCATATCTATTTGTTATAATGTTATTCAAAATATTTTCTGAATTGTATTAAGCTAAGGTAAATGTTAAAAAATCGTTTTGGTGTTTTGTAATCGCACTGGATAATTTAACCTAATATATCTTTCCATACAACATTCTTTATATAGCATAGTTAAGATCTTTTACCACATACAGTGAGTGATGATGATAACAAAATTGAAAACTCATAGCATTTTATTGGTCACTGTTCTAAGTGCTTTATCCACATTAGTTATACCTTGCAACAACCCTGTGGAATCACTACTGTTGTTAATATCTTTATACATAGGATACTGAGTATAGAGAGATTAAGTATTTTGCCCAAGATTACAAAATAATTGTATGAGCTGGAATTCAAACCTAAGCAGGCTAACTCCAGAATCCATATTAACTACTACCAGTTTGGTGAGGGGAGGGAAGATGGGCACAAAGTCTACCTTCAAATTTGTAATGTTTTAGAAAGAAAAATATTTGAGGAGATGTGATTATATTCCTTATTTGTAAAGATCAGGAAAATGAAGCCCACACTAATTTTGGTTCTTTCAGAAGCAGAGAATCTTCCATTTGCCTTTGTGTCTTCCATTTCTGTTTTTGTGTTGGTGTCTCAAAGTGATATGTGTGTACATGTGAAAGTAAGGGAGGAAAAAAAAAGGATTGGAGTTTTTCGCTATATTTACATTGAAATAAAAACTTCTGGTTTTTATGGTAAAAATATTTATGTTTTTTATATGTGTATATATACAGTAATTTTTAGAGGAATAATGTGTGGAAAGGGCTTGTTACAATATTGTAGAGGCTTCTATTACTGAGTAAATGAATAAATATAATATAATCATGATGGCAACTATAGTAAAAACCTCTGTTTTAATGAGAATGATTCCAGTTACCAAATGGAAGAGCATCGTTGTTTGAAATTAGTACTTAGTTTCTCCAAAGAGACTCCTTATGGAAGCAAATTGTCAGTTAAACATGACATACTTTGGAATTTTTTAAAATCCTGACTGGAAAATCTTAATCTTTTAAAAATAAAAATATATGTTCTAGATGCTTTTAAGTTTTTTATTAAATACTGTTCTGGAAAATAGGTTTATTTGACTTCTAAAATTGTATCGTGGGTTCATATTATTTAAAACTGATTTTTAAGTAAACCTATTAATAAAAATATTTTTTCCTTATTAAAAAAATTTATTCAAATATGGTTTCATTTTATTTGTAAATAAATCCAAGTTTTATAATATTTTACAATTTATCTTGTGTATTTAGCACGTTCTTTTATTCTGAACTGTGTACTAGTAGCCATTTTTCCATCTACTACCCACAAATCCTATGCTTTATTAGTCTTCTTGAAATAATAGGACTGAATATTTTTAAGTGCTTATTACTACTAGCCTGGATGACTATTCTTATAATAGTGTAAGGCAGTTAAATTACTGGCTGATCACTTTGAACTTGTGGAGGCTTTGGTTTCTTTGTTAGCCCAGGTCTGTAAAAAGCCCAAAGTATTTTCCAAACACCTTTAACTTGGCAAGACTCAAACCCCAAAGAGATCCCTGCTTTGTGTTTTCAGACTTCCAGCCCTTGCTTTCCTCTGGGCTAACGCGCAGAGGTCAACCAAGGACTTATACACAGATTTGGGGCTTCCTCCTCTGTGACCCTCTTCTGGGATTTTCCTTCTTATTTATAGCCAGTCTGAGATCCTAAACTCCATCCCCTTATACCTCAAGCCAAAGATATTGCAGCCTTCTGACTAGGGTGTGTCCTCAGGGGAAAAGTCACACAAAGATTGATCTCACCCAGTGAGATCTTTCAATGATCAAATCCTGTCTAGTTCCTGCCCGTTTTAGTTTGGTCTTCGGTGCTTCGAACATATATATATATATGTGTATATATATATGTATGTATGTATGTATGTTTTTCTTTTTAAGTTAGTCAATCTGTAGAAGAGTTAATACAATTAAAGTTCCTCTGCCATTATTGCCTGGAAGCTTTGTCTTGGGTATAGTGTCACTTTTCTATTTACGTGTTAGAAAGTTGGAGTTATTTTTGTTTTGAAAAATGAAAAAGAAGAGTTCTGAAAATAATTTAGGTGGGATCAGTACGTTTTTGGAATATTGACTTCTAATATGGTTGCCTAATATAGTAAATTATGATACTTGTAATTAAATCTAATGATTATTAAGGGTCTCGTGAAAATATTACTGAGAAACAAAAGTGACTATGACCTCCAGGCAAGAGGAACTCACCTTCTAATTGAGGGCTAACTAATGCAAAGTATAATATGATGACTACTAAGGAGCTAGGTAGGTTTACATGGAAATAGAATTTATATCAGGCTGAAGCAACAAAGAAATATTTCATGGGCAGATTGACATCTGAGATTGTACTTGATGGAGATTTGTGAAGACATTGCGAAGAACATTCTAGGCAAAATAAAGGGGTGTGAACAGAAATTGCACAGTAAAACTCATGCACGTAAACAGTAGATGACAATAATAGTGGCCAATAGTGTGGAGTACTTGCTATATGCTTAAATGTGTATTAATTTATTTGCGCCTCATAATAACCACCAGTGAAATACTATTATTATTCCCATTTTATTGATAAGGAAAGTGAGGCACATGGAACTGAAGGCATTTGCAAACTTAGGAAGTATGTCTCTAGGACCAGCCCTCGTAAACGGGGCGCTATACTGATGCTCTCTGAATTTGTGCACTCTGACAGCCTGTGCTTCAAAGGAGCTGAGGTTATTTTTAGGTAGAAAACAGGTTAAATAACAACAGCAATGTTCTGCTACATGCAGTGAGGAACAAGGAAAACACATCACACACACAGACCTATAATAAGTGGGGTTGGAGAAAAACAGCTATTATTTGAGAAGGGATAGCCAGGTTTCCATTAAAACAAAAAGATGAAGAGACTTGCTCTGTGTGCCCTGCCCACGTTAAATCCTCTTGGTGCTGGTACAGGGCATTCCCATTAAGAAACATTAAGCGTTTGGAGGGCTACCCTAAAACATTTGGCCTGAAGAGTT